CATACAGTTGGCCTCAGCCCATCGATCCAGAACTGGATGAGTTCTGTGTTTTTCCACAAGAAAAAAAAGTTTGTATGGGGATTGTTTTTTTTGGTTTTGTTTCCCCACCCTGTGCAGAGTTAACCTTATGCTAAGCACTTTTTTTTCCTCTTGAAATAAAATATTTTTGCATTTAGGCATCTCTACTTAAAACCTGTGCAAACAAAAAGAACAAGCTTGTGTCTTGGTGGTACATGGAAGTAACCAGCTAAAGGCACGGTTGAACCAGCTAAATCACTGAAGAAGATTTGAATGCTTAATTAAGCCACATGTTTCTGTAATGTTAATGGTTCCACCTGGATTGCCAGATAACTCTGCTAGACCTTGAGTAAATAACAGTGGTGCTGCTGCTGTTAGCAGCATGATGTTGTTCTTTGCTTCATTTCCCCTTTTAGCATTGAAAAGAAATGTCTTCAAATGTACGTGGAGTGGATAAACCATAATTTAGATGCTCTTGGAAGGCAGTGTTTTCATAGACCTTGCTTCTGTAAAATGTCATCTGCTGGAGAGGGACAGAATGTGTTTGGTTTGATTTTGGGGTTTTTTTCCTCATTTGGCTGTTTCCTGTGTGTTGGGTTCAAATCTGGTTTTGGATGCCGATACTGCAGAGCCTTGCTGGGCAACGTATGCCCTGCAGAAGAATTAAGATATGCACTAAGCTGTTAATCACTATCGCTTTTTTTCGTCTCAGCAGATGGTGGCAGAAATCTAAGCCTCGACTCCATTCTGATGGGCTTGCCAATGTCAGACCCAACTGCCTGGGCCACTGCGATGAACAATCTAGGGATGGCTCCCATGGGGATGACAGGACAGCCCCTCCTGCCTGGTATGTGAGCTTATCCAGACTGCGCCCACCTTTGCTTTCAAACAGGTCTTCGGGAAGAACCTATTTCAGTTGAGTTGATAAATGCCTACCGCGTACAAAAAACATTAATAAGCTGTGTTTGAAATGCATTAATGTCTGCAAGTGATTTGTTTAGAGGACAATATTTAAAAACTGATTTCAGAGGAAATGAAAATACATGTTTATTGATGTAAACTGGTTATTGTGGGGTACCTCTAGATATTCTGCAGTGGTCCCAGCCGAAGGAGGGTCCCATGCAGAGCTCAGCGGGATATCAAGCTCATAAACCAGGGATATCAAGTAACACATTATTCTAAGCTGAACTGGAACTGCTTAAAAAGAAGGGTGGGAGGGAGATGAAGAGGGAAGCAATAGGGCAGTAAAATGGATATGGCAGAAATAAATGGAGTATTCTGCTCCAGAAATGACCACCTTGTAGTCCAGAGTACGTGTGCATGGGTGAGTCATCCTATCCAGGCTTTGTTAAAGAGCTCCTGTAGGAACAGAGCTGTGCTGTACCTCTGCTGAGATGCCTGTGCATCAAAATCCTGAAATTAAAACACCTTTTCAGTGCTTTACTGCATGAAGTGCTTGAGAAGGATGCTGTTCCCTGCCTGAATAATTGCCTGCTCACCTGGGGAGGGAGTGTCTGTGTTGGCAGCACTCTGCAATCCTATTTCCGCTCTTGTGGCATAGAGCGGGTAGTTTGCTGTGCAGCTGATACTATATTTAACTAACAGCGTCGCTTGACATAAGTTTTGCATGCAGCCTGTACTCTTACGTCCCCTAGGCCTTGTTTCACATTTGTCATTGCTGTAGGGGTGTTGTTTTCATGTCGTTCTCATGCTCCCACGCTTCTGTCAAGTAAAAATCGATAGAAGTCTGAGGAGAGCACACCTCCCATTCCCTGCTGTAAGAATAGGAGAAGGCTTCTGGGTGATGCTCGTTTTGATCCTTTTGAGATCAGGAGGTCTGCACCCAACACGACTCAGAACGTTTTAGAAGGAGCAAAATACTTTTTTCTGATCTGGCCGCAAGGAAGCAGGATACTCTGGTCAATATGGATCAGATCCCAAGCACAGTGATGGTTTGAAGTTTAGATGAGTCATATCTATAGTATCTATTAAAGATGAGAGACAGTGGAATCTTGAAATGCTTTGGGCCATCTTTGCCGAAAGCTAGGTGGGACTAAAGTTTCAGGTCACAGTAAAAAAAAAAAAGTCTAAAAATGCTTAAGAATTTACCAGCCAATTTCTGTTCCTACAGATGAAGTAAAGCATATAATTGTGAGATGCTTTAGGAGGACCTCAATGTCTAAAATGAATGCACAGCACCTTTCACTCTGTCCAGCATTATATAAAAAAGGTTATCGCAGCTTTCACCAAAAAGTACCTGCCAGGCCTGATGTTTTTGAACTCTTTTAGAATCCTTGAGGACTTTTTTTTCTTCTTTTTCTGTTCTTAAAAATGGAGACTGGCTCTTCCAAATCTGCTTCTTAAGTATCTTGGATGCTGGCTTGTCGCCATGGGCTCAGCTTCTTAACAGAAGAAGTAGGTCTCTACACAAGCTGGCAAGTTGTCTTTACACATTGCTGGCTGAGCAATAAACAGTGGGGCTCACCACAAACCCAGCAACCACGGGTTCTGTTCGCCCTTGCATACACACTTTCTACTTTTCATTATAATGTGATAGTTCATTACCCAGCTAGTTCTTTTGCTTCTGATAATTTTATCCATTCACGCTTTTAGAAAGCTGCAAGTCTTGCTTAATCAGAGAAACACCCATCTTGGCTTTCTGCTTCCTCGAATTCCCCAAGTTCCTCTGTTCCCGCAGTCAGATTTTCTCTGGTTGGCATCCATGCCCATTGCTGTCAGCTAACCTTGAAGCAGTAACAAATTACCAGGACAAGGTGAGACTGCTCTCATTGGCACGGAGGATTATAAAATGTGAAGGGACTGAATTTAGAGGCTTGGAAAAATTGTAGCAGCGGGTTCACTTGCCTGTCCTTGACATGTGGCAGGTAGCTCAGTGTGACCCACGGCACCTCTGGCTGTAGGGCTGGGAAGAACAGCCACCATCCTGCCAAGGAGGGTGAGGAGGTGGCTGAAACACACCTTGTTGCCCCTCTTGCTGCCAGTGCTGAGGTCGTACCAGTGTCAAACTGTGATGGTAAGACAAGCGGGTCCTGGCCTCTAGCACATGGATGTTTCCAAACGGTCTCTGCGTTTTCCAGCAGGTCACCGTTGCTCCGTATCTCCCATCCTCTGCGCTTGCCTCAGCAGCAGGAGCTGTGGCTGTTCCTCTTCCTTCTGGTTGCTCTTGATAGGCAGCAGTGGGCAAGGTCCAGATCGCTCCCTGCTGACGTTTTGGAGTACAGCTCTAGGAAAACGAAGAGTTTCTTTACCATTTCAAGACTGCTTTTAACAGGAGGGTGCCAAGGCTGGGTGTAGCAGGACAGAGGCTGTGGGGAGCTGGTGTCCTGGGGCTGCACTCCTGTGTGGCATGGCTGCTTCTGTGCTGCTTAGAGGGGTACTTCAGGGCCAGCTCTGGTACCTGCCGCGTGCCCAGGGGCTGGCTGGCCGGCCCAGACCAGCAGCATTTGTGAGACTGGTCTAAGGCTTCATAGCTGGGATTTTACTGGCACAGCTGCTGCCGAAAGCGAGGGAAGTAATGAGCATCCCAGTCTAAATACCTAGGAAATTCAGAAGATGGATCGTTAAGTTGGAAGCCAGGATGCTGGTTTTGGCAAGTGTTCTTCCAGCCCTTCAGGCAAGGGACTGACCTGTGCTTCTTGCACTTCAGTTTGCCTCCGCTGGTAATACCTTTGCCACAGGTTGGATCAGGATATTACTTGCTCAGGACTGAGTCCTGCAATTTTTCTCCTCACTCTCCAACTACCTCACATCTTCAGGGAGTTTTGTCACTGAAGGTCACAGCCATCCACGAGGTGACTGTCATCTCAGACTTCAACTTAGCAATACATTAATTCAAACTGTGGAGATCTGGATGGGGTAGCCTCTCCCCATCCTCTCTTCCCTGGTCCGAAAGCCCCAGCTCAGAGACCTCTGCCCTGAGCCAGCAGTTGTACAGCTATAGCCTCCATCATTCGGGCCAACTCTTGTCACTCCTTACAGCCCGTTTCCTCTGGAGACGTGTATGCAGTGTGTTTCAGGGACTTGTGTAGCACCATCACAGGGAGCAGTAAGGCTGCCTGTGCTGTGGAATGGGGCTCTGTCTAACGATAGACTTGTATAATTTAAAAAAAAAAACAAAAACAAGTCAAAATACTATTTAAAATAGAAAACAGTGCTGTCTGCCTGATTTTTTTTTTTTTAATGGCATCATATCTGAAATCTACTAATGAAAGTTTAAATATTAAAATTCTGCAACTTTAATGTCACCTCTTCCAAGCCAGGTGTCATAGACAAGGCCATCCCAGCATCAGTTGGCCATAGATAAACTAATGTATCTCATAAGGATACAGTCCACATGTATCCCTACACCCCTATTTCACAGTTGGCTACAGGAAGATTACTTGTGCCTTCCTCTGAAACGCCTGTTTCACGGCAGAGGATTTGCCTCAGGTCTATGTTTTTACTGCGACCGTTCACGTGTGATGTAAAATGAACAGCAGCACTTGCACTGAGTGCAAGGAAATCCTAATTAGGCAAGCGAAACAATGTACATAAACTGTGTAGAAATGTAACCCAGGGAAAATATTTCAAAATACAAAGGAAAACAAAATTCAGCTACCAAACTCAAACGTGCAATCTGGGCACTGAAATTTGTCTTGCATCTGGATTACTGTAAGTAGTGGTTGTGAAGAGAGGAATACAAAAATGTTTTCCTGCCTTAGGGATGTGAATAGCATCTGAAACGATGCCAGTGTAGGCTCAAAGGAAAATGCTGCCTCTGCACCGCTCAGTTCTGCCTATTTGTAACTTTTGTCTGTGCCTTGCAAAATTAATTTTATCTGTCTACATCAGAAACAGGCAGCCAGATTCAAAGGCTCTGTAGTGCTCGGGACGATGTGTTCTGTGGCAGTGTCATGTGGTGGTTGGGGATTGCCTGCGTCTTCAGAGCTGCTGCGGCTGCAAAGAGAGTAGTGGCAGCAGAGGGTGGAGGAGACGTCGTGCGTTTGCAGGAGGGAGTTCTTCCTGAGGTGTCACCCCGATAGTACCAGTGGGCCCTGCTGGTGCTGGTTGTCCTTGCAGTTGAGAGCTGCTGACATCCTCAAACTCATGAGCCTCCTCCATAAGGCACCTAGGCATACTGTTTCCATTTTGGTTGCCTAGAGGTATTGCTTCCCCAGGAACTTCTGAACAGATAAAATACTCCTCCTTTGACAGCTCTGTTTGGTTTTATTTGGGATTGGAGGCAAATCTGGGAGCAAGATCAAAGTAAAATGCTATTTAGATATAGTCAGAGTGCTAACTAAAACCTAGAAACAAGTTAAGCAGGATAAGGTATGCAATAAGGTGTTTCCATAAATGCTTCTGTGCGTTTTACCAAGAATTATTCTGGTACGTTCTTAACTGCTGAAATTGGTACACTTGTCTAGTTTGCAGGGTGATGCCCTTAACCCTCTGTCACAAGCTGTCTGCGCTACTAAGCTACCGAACGAAACCGGGCTGGGTTGGGTTTTACGCTGTTTCCGTATGCCACAGATTTCTTTATATGGGTAATACAATACTGGGGAGGTTTTGACACTAGCTGGGAGATGGTGTCCACAGAGTGGAAAAAGAAATAGTTTATTTGAACAGAGAAAATCTATGTGGCTGAGGCAATCAACAATGAAACAGATTTTAAACGGGTGTTCTAAGGGCACAAATCTAAAGTTCTGGTGAGTTGTATTATGACGTTCCCTCTCGGTTGCTGTTCACTCAGTTAATTTTCACCGGTACATGTGGGGAGAGTACTCCATTTGCTGTCTGCATGAAGAGTTACTGTATGAGTCCAAACCACCTGACTCCCTTATTCTCTCTCTCATTTAGATTTTGATCCTGCTCTTGGGATGATGACTGGAATCCCTCCAATCAACCCCATGATGCCAGGCTTGGGCATAGTCCCACCTCCCATCCCTCCGGACATGCCTGCTGTGAAGGAGATCATTCACTGCAAAAGCTGCACTCTCTTCCCACCGAACCCACGTAACTGTCCATTTATGTTTTGTTCCGTTTCTGTCTGTATATGTGGTCCCCTCATCTGCGCTCTGCAGCATATGGCAGAGCCCAGCAGCGGGTCTCGGGTTATTGCATGCAACTTGGCAGCAATCGTTCCTGTGGTCTTGGGGTTCCTGAGACCTTTGTGTGCTGCGGGCCTGAACTCTGCCCGCAGGCAGGGCTTTGCTTGGCTCGTTAGCTTCACAGAAGAAGAATAAGTCGGATCTCGTGAGCTGCGCTTACTGCCAGACAAGCAGAGGGAAGGAAGCATTCCACCCTGTAAAGCTTTAACGATAAATGCGCAGGTATAAAGTTGACAGCAATGGCAAACTGGGGAAGGCAGGAGCGTAAGCGCAGTCCCAGGCAAGCTTCTGCCTGCAGTGCCTGCACAGCCCAGCCGCCCTGTTGGGCCCCACGGAAGCCCCACGGAAATGGGACTTAATTTTTCCAGAAGCAGTGCACTTCACTGGAAATAAGACGCTTTCATTCTGCAGAGAAGTTGCAGGAGATGTTTGTAACTGCGTGTCTATAATTCCTAAGAAGGTGCCAGCAGATGGCACCCGAGCCTGGTGGGCTCCCAGCAGTGGGAGTCTGTGGCGCTCCCGTGCCCAGCATTTTAAATAAAACTCTTTCCATGCCCAGTCTGATGATTTGTCTCTTAGTTCACCATCCCCAGAAGAAAACTGGTCTTGCTGTCCTGGAAACAGTTTTGGGTTGGTTTGTTGTTTTTTTTTTTTTAAATTAAATACTCGTTGACAAGCCAGTTCAAGAATTTTGACTGCTGTGTTAGAAGGAAGATGCGCTGTTAGTCCCTCTGAGCATGTAACAAAAGTGTGCGGGCAAACGAGTAACTGTCACAGAAACGCTTGGGCACTGCTTTTGAGGTACGTGTTCCTCCCATATTTGTTCTAGCCACGCTCACAGTGGTTGTTCAGGCTAAGGTCTGTGTACGCGGTGTAGACTGAACTCCCACCCAGGTGCTCCTGCATGCGTGTCTCCTCCTGCTCCCCTTCACTGTTGGTACTCTTCAGGCTCTCCCTTTCTCATCCATCAGTGCTGCTAGCATTTCCCTCTTGGTGCTGCAGATTGCTTCCAGCGACGGTTTATCTGGTTTGCAGACCTTTCCCTTCCCTTCGTGTAACAAACCGGCTCTTGATTTCATCCAGATGTTTCTGTTCTTGGCTGTGTGAGATGTGCTCAGTCCTGTTTTCCTGGGACTTTTTCTTCTTCTGGTTCTTCTGCTGCTTTAATCCCTTCTTTAGTGTGGCCTTGCAAACAGATGCAGTCTGAAATGTTAATTCCTGGCAAATATCCGTCAGGAATATTTATCAGAGGGAAATTTCTCTTCCTCTGAGCCAGTCTGGCAGAGAATTTTTAAAGAACTCCTATTCTCTTTATTTTGCTAAACACTTAAAAACATATTTTTTGCAAAATGCAGATAGTGTGGGTTCAACACCTCTGTTTACAGCTGTTATCTTGTGTTTCATGTACTTATGACAGACCTAACATACATCTTTTGATCTGAGATACGGTCTGTGCAAAACTGTGTTGAATACAAATGTTAGACTGTGGAGATTGCTGTTGAGATGTGGTCAGGGCTGGTAACTGAGGAAGCTTCCAAGAAAAATCGATACTGATTGCAAAGTAGACAGAGGGAATATTTGATAAGGTTGTGAAGCTGTACTGGAAAGGGAATTAAACTTGGATATCAGGTTTTCAGGGAAAACCTAGCACTTGTGGTCAGTGTTATCCTGAGAAGGGACCGTCAGCATCTCGTAGAGCTTATGAGTCCTTCCTGGAGGCCCTTGCTACGAGCTGGTACTGGACTGGGTGAGCCCCTGGCCAGGAGCTGTCTTGCAGCTTCTGTTCTTGTGAAGTAAGAATAGGATGTTAAAAGGACCTGTTGGTGCAGAAGAACTCTTGTTTACTACCTTTAACTACCTTAAAGAAGGTTAAGGATGTTGTTTCATAAGGCTGTAGCAAGTCAGTGGTCAGGCTCGATGTGGGAACCAAAAGGATCCATTTCCAAACAGAAAAAAAATAATCCTAATAATTGCTTTTGGAAGAACTTTGCTGGAAATATGCCAAAGAATTAAAAGAATATAATACAACTATTTTGTTAAATAAATATGTAAGTGGTGTAATTCTGTGAACTTAACCAGGGACGATGGATCTCAGCACTGAAATTCATTTAGGATTTTCCAGATATTAAGAAACACCAGGTAACAAGTGCATAATCCTTCTCAGCCTTCACATACTGAGTTGGGAGGGTCTCACTGCACTTGCCAGGTAGGCACTTGAGCATGGAAATGAGTTCGGTGCTGGAGAAACACCAAGCCACAGCAGTCTCACACAGTCTCTTGTGTGTGCTGCACTGGGGTGGGTAAGTGAGCATACTCAGCAACCTGCTTCTGGCAAACTAGACTTAACTTTCAGGTGCTTTTATGTTTTGTGGTTTATTTTAGCCATATGGGTAAAAAAAACACTTATTCCGTCTACACCTCTTGGCTATACCCGTTTCCTTCATCTCTTCTTTCCATAATATCTTTTTAGTCTGAATTTGGTTCATGACCTTCCCTTAATGTTAATACTTTTGTACACTTTACAGACTGCTGTATAGTTTTTTGCCCTTTAGGATCCTCTGTATACATTCTCTACGTATTCTTTACGTTAGGACAGTCCTTTCAGCTGTGTGTGTATAGCACCTCCCATGATAAAGTTTTGAGGTCCTGGTGCTGCTCATGGTCTATGACAGGAGCTCAGTGAGGCTTTGCTTGCGCTGGGGAGAGTGTTTGGAGGGCTTCAGGCTCCCGAGATCTTTTGTCTGGAAACAGGCTGGTAAATGTGCTTGTTCTCGTATAGCACCTCAGAAGTGCTAGAGATCTGCTGCTTGGTGAAGTCGAATGTGGCATAGCGAGGTGTACGTTCGAAGGAAGCAAGGAAGGTATGGTTGTCTCTCAGGAGAGGTGGCCAGATGCAAGGAACATGTGCTGACAAACCAAAAACTAACCAGGTCTGCTTTCTCTTGCTCTCTTCAGATCTTCCCCCTCCAGCAACAAGAGAGAGGCCCCCAGGATGTAAGACGGTGTTTGTTGGAGGACTGCCGGAAAACGGAACCGAGCAGATCATTATGGAAGTGTTTGAACAGTGTGGGGAAGTCATAGCTATTCGAAAGAGTAAGAAGAATTTCTGTCATATCCGCTTTGCTGAGGAGTTCATGGTGGACAAGGCACTTTATCTTTCTGGTAAGTCTATTTCTGTCTCAGATGGCAGCTTAAAATTCTGGGACAGAGATGTAATGACTTCTTTATAGTTATAATGACAGGCTTTGTTGCAGTTGGAAGATCTGTCTAATGTTGTGTCAGTTCGCCTCTTTCTGCTGCTATTGCATTTCTGCTTAAATACATGAAAACAGCTCCTGGTAGGAAAGATAGCAATGCTTTGTTTCCTTTGGTACTGCAAGCCGGTACAAAATATTGCATCAGGTACAATCAGAATCCATCCCCATCTTACCTGGATAAATGTCCAACCAATTCTGCAGATAATGCTTAAGGGTCCTATAAACATTTGCAGTTGCTCTCAATTGCTTGTTGGTTGGATGGTGTGCTTGACTTTCATCAATATTTTTTTTTTGCTATTAGTCAACAGAGCTGAAACACCTGGGCTATTTTTGCCTAGGGAGGCCCTGTTTTGCATCCGTAGGGTTTTAAGAGGTCTGTTCCATGGAGGACAGAGATGTCGTGGTTGGTGTTCACAGGCTCTGCGTGCCTGGCAGATTGTGCATTTCCAGCCAACCCTGTGTTTGCTGTGCTGGTTACATCTGCCCTGAGCAGCCTAGGCTTTCCCACCTGACTCTTCACCATTCTGGAAAAATACAATAGTACTTTCTATTTCCATGCTAAAATCCCTTCCAAAATCATCTTTTCAGTATATTAACAAACCAGGGTACTGCCTCCAAAGCCCCTACTTTCTCCAGAGATGTGAGATGTCAAGATAAGCGAGGGAAGTGTTCTTTGCTGTTTAAAATAATGGAAATTTTTCTGTATTCTGTTTTGACTGATTGTAAGCATTGTGTCTCATTCCAGAGACTGTTGAATTGTTCAACTTGCAATGCCCTGCTAGTAAGAGCTGTGTCTCTTTGTGGTTACCCCTTCTACACAGCCAATACAGCCTCTTTAGCTGCAGGCATTCTCTCCTTACAGTTCCTCCTGCCCAAAGCCATGGCCATGTCCACAGTCATCAGTGTCCTCCACACACAAGTGTTGTTTCTGGGTTTGTTCTTTGTTTGAAGTCTCTCTGTAGTTCAGATTTTCTTCCCTACGTCCCACCTGTGCTTTTCCTAATCACAGAGAAGAGCCTTCTAGCATGTTTGTGCATGCAGAAAAGGAGTCCTGCAAACTTTACTGGTGGTGAGAAGAGTTCCCACACAGTGGACGTGGGCATTTGCTGACCTTAATCCCCCTCCCACTGGATGATGGGGGCTGTTCCAAAGGTTACCGCCATCCATCTACTGCCCTCTTTGCCATGTCCCAGCTCTCATTCCCCCCTTCCCATCCCCAAGTTCTGGAGTTTGTGAAAGTGTGGAAGAATCCAAGGCAGTTCTGTCTTCCCCCTGTGAACAGCTGGGCTTAGTCCCACAGCCTGAGAGGTTACGTGCAATTAAACAGTTGCTTTTCGAGACCCAGTACCTGCTAGTGTTTAGAGGAGGAACAGCCCGTGTAAGATCTTGCCTGGTGTGTGCAGAACACAGGCAGAGAGCAGCACGCACCCTGATAATGTTTTCTTTTCCAGCATCACTCTCTATGCACTAAACTCTTCAGTCACCTCTTCTGTTCAGGGGCTTTCTGCTCAGTAGGAATGAGGGACGGGCATGGGTGGGTGGTTGGAGCCTAAGGTAAGTCACCTGTGCTGTCTGAACACTGTTGTCGTCACTGCCAGGCTATCGCATCAGGCTGGGCTCCAGCACTGACAAGAAGGATACTGGACGCCTGCATGTGGATTTTGCTCAGGCTCGGGATGATCTGTACGAGTGGGAATGTAAGCAGCGGATGCTGGCGAGAGAGGAGCGCCATCGCAGGAGGCTGGAAGAGGAGCGCTTCCGCCCGCCCTCCCCACCTCCCGTTGTCCATTACTCCGACCACGAGTGCAGCATAGTCGCTGAGAAACTGAAAGGTAGGTGGTTCTGCAGGCCACGGCCACCCGCCTGTGCAGATGCTGCGATGTAGATTTGTATTCTCCAGTGGCTGTCTTGCTGAACTGAAATGATGGTGCCATCTAGACCTTGCAGAGCCTGTTCAGACTGAGCCCTCAGCCTGCACACAGCAGCTCTGCTAGCCATCTCTTTTTCAGAATTGTTTGTCTTTTGAGTACAACAGTTTCTTCCAAACCATTTTTTTCATGTTAAAAGGACTAGTGTAAGTCATAAGACCTTCTTTGAAGCCTAAGACCCATGCGTGGCCTGATTATTTTGGAGCTGGAGGATATTGTCTTTCATGAAAGAGTATATCTGAATAGGCATATGAAGTTTCCCAGTAGGTTTCTAGCAATTGGTCCTCCTCTTTTTGCCTCCTCAACAGATGGTTTGCTCCATCAGCTTGATGTTAGACTTGCCTTCCTATGTATAGTCCTGTATTCAGATAATACCGTGCTTTCAAGAATTGTGATTAGCCGCCCGAAGTAAGTTGACCTTTGAAAGAGAGCACTTCAGCAGTGCCGGGGAAGGATCCAAAAGCTGCGCAGGTAACCCTGTATTTCTGTGGTATAAAGGTGTTCGTTCTTGCTACAGATGACACAAAGTTCTTGGAAGCCATACAGACCTTGCTGACCTGGATAGAGCGTGGAGAAGTGAACAGGAGGACTGCCAACAACTTCTACTCCATGATCCAGTCAGCCAACAGCCACGTTCGCAGACTAGTGAATGAGAAAGCAGCTCATGAGAAAGAGATGGAAGAAGCTAAAGAGAAATTCAAACTTGCTCTCTCAGGGATTCTGGTTCAGTGTGAGTAGTGTTTCCGCCCTGAATGTTGGTTGTCTGTTGTTGTAGAGAAGACGTTTAATTTCTAGAGTCTGGAGAGGCCACGCTAAAAGGGCTTCAGGAAAAGAAGTAGCAGTCACTTCTGTGCAGCTATAGTTAATTTATAAGCATAGATCATTAACTTGGCAAAAGTTTCTTGTGGTACTTTTTATTGGAGTAAGAGTCCACATCTGGGGGAGGAGAGAATGAATTCTTAATTTTTTTCCTCTTTTAATTATAGTCTATTAGTAGTTCTGTCATCTTTACAACTCCATTTCTGTGCACAGACAAGGTAAGTTCCTGGTAATCTGGTGCCTCAGCGAAGTGTACAGGATTTATTCGCCAAAGGTAGGATGCAGCAGAGTGTTCCCAGCACTCTGTTCTCACTCATAACTGAAAACCTGTTGCAGCATTTCAAACCTGGGTTTTTCAGATCCCAGTACTTTATTAAACCATGAAAACAAGGAAGAGGCATGGCCTATATTAGTTCCCAGATGTAATTTATAACAGTTCCTTAAACCATTCGTTGCCTCTTACACATTCTTTCTTTAGTAAGTCTGAATATTCTTTTTTACTTTATTTTGTTAAGAATACCTTCTCCGCAATTATACTAAGTCTCCTTGACCCCCTGGGCTAGGTTGTGAACATTCTTAACTTTTGTTTTTATATTCAGTAATTTTGTTACTTGTTTGAGACTTAATTTTTTTTTTTAATTGTTCACGATAAAAAATACGGGCACACGGTCCAGAGGGAAATGCAGTAAGTGCTGCAGAGTAAGTAGTAACAGACAGTAGCATGCAACTCGGCTCTATAACACACCCACTGATTACCTCAGCCACTCTTAGGTTAACCTAAGTAGGAGAGTGCTGATTTTATTTTGTAAGAATTATGCCTACTTCAACATCACAAGTGTAAAAAAACGAACCAAACAAACAAAACCAGGTAGAAGTGCTTTCCGCTGTTGGGTTAGCTCTCATTCAAGGAAGGGCACTTTATATTCCAAAAAACCTCTGCAGATTTTCTAGAGAAATAGAAGGAATAAATTTCAGGAACAAAAGAAATTGATGGCTGCTGCCAGAATCCATTTTCCGTAGTCCGCACGGCGGGATGCGGTTGTGCTCAGGCTGTGGCACTGTTCTTTAGGACTGCACCCACTAGGCAGAAGAACACCCAAAGTGCCAGCTTCCGCACTTGTACTTAACCGTCCCGTTTTAGAGAGCGAGTGCTACCTGGGTGTGCTTGTTACACTCACAGGCAGCGTTGCACAGCCTATTTGAACATTTTTCAGCGCAACCTGTGCCGCCTTTTTTTTCCAGTTGAGAGCAGATGCCATTGTCCCGGTTGATCGTTACTCTGTGAGCATTTGGCTCTGGCCTGGTGAAGTCCACACTTTTCTTTCCAGGGACAGAGACCTTTTCCTGAGCTTAGCTTCAGCACAGTACAGTGTTATAAGAAAAGGTTAGCCAAACCACCTGCCTGATTCCACTTTTTTACTCCTTTACTCCTCTTGTTCGCCCTCTCTGGATGATATTCTGGCCTGATTTGACTGCTGATTTGATACTACAGTCGAGCAGATAGTGGCCGTGTACCATTCTGCCTCCAAACAAAAGGCTTGGGACCATTTCACGAAAGCTCAGCGTAAGAACATCAGCGTGTGGTGCAAACAAGCAGAGGTTGGTAATTTTTTTATTGTGTTAGATCCTCCAGCACAGTCTCTCTTTTGTCAGGATATTGATGTTGAGTTTGCACAATGCTCGCATGGATAACACCACCTTAATTCACAGTGTACGATGGGAATTACTCAGTCGTCTCTTGTGTTACAGGTAATTAATTTTCTCTTGGTCTTTGCGTTACTAGCAGCAATACATTGAGGTCTGTATGCTGATTGAAGTTGTGCACAATAATAATTATTATTGATTTGTTTTGTGCCGATTTAATGTTAAAGCAAGAGGGATTTCTAGAGAGATGTTTAAAAAAAAAAAAACCAGAAAACCAACGAACAAACCCTAAGCATCATCAGAGATCTGTTTTGTCACATTTTTATTGACAGACTTGAGAGGTGGAAATAATTGCAGCTGGACAGTCTGGAAAACTTGAGTGAGGATGTTCTCATATTTCTGTATTTATGCTGTGCAGTGACATTGCTAGTGAAATACAGGATTTAAAGGTGGTGACAAGGGTGGGGTTGGTGGAAAAAGGCATGTCACTTAAACTGCTCTTCCTGCAGGAGGAAGAATAGTTCTCAGTCCCTTATCTGATCTTATCAAATCTTATTGGAGTCAGGCACAATGTCAGGAAAAATAAAGCTAAGGTAAAGAAAGGCTGTCTCTTGGGCAAGTGATGGCTTTGGGAGATGTTTGCCCTGGAGTCTGCAATGAAATACATGCTGCCTTCTGTCACCTGCGTAATAGGGATGTCACATTGCTTGGCTGCATCTGGCCGTGGAGCCCATCTTGATGTTTGGCCTGAGGAAGAGGGGAGGAGATAGCTGTTATCCTGGGAACATGGATAGGTCCCTCTGTATGGCATCCCTTCCCTCTGGCATAAAATCTTCTGTGGTTCTGTGTTTTTCTCAGATATCGAGTTCCTTTTCACAAACTTGGAAAACAAGTCTATCCCAGCAAAGCCAGAAGTTGTCTTTCACCTTTAAGATTATTTAACATCAAAAGTAACTCTGGGCAAAGTTGACAGGCTGGTGATCCGTGGTCACCACTAGGTTGCATGTATGCAGGCCACCTTCCCATATAGCTGCGACCTGAGAAAAATCTGTAGAGTTGGGTAATACCCAGTGGTTGGCCTCGATCCCCCACAACGTTGGAAGACTCAAAATGACTGTGTTTTCCTGGGAAGTTTCCAGCAGTGATCTCCTCATGAGACTGCACTTCTGGGATTTTCCTTCCAAGTCCCACTGAATCAAACCTTTTGTAGTACCTAAGGGAGGAGATAACATTTTATTTTATACCTGATAAGCCAGGTGGAGAGTCTGATTCAGACTGTACCTCTACTTTGAGCCCTAGTCCTCCTGTTCCTTCCTGCTTACTGAGATTGCTTACTATGACTGGGGTGGGAGTACTCTCTCCATTTGGAGCTGTCTTTTGTTCCAAGGTAAGTTATCCCTGTGGGAAGAGGCTGCGAGACCACTGGTGAGGCCTCTTCCAGGAGTACTTGCTGCTGGGCTCAGCCTGCTGGGCTCCCCCAGCTTTAGGGCCTTCCCTTAAAGGAAGGTGGACCCACAAGATGCATCTTCTTGGTACAGCTTTCGGCAGAGTTTAATCCTGTGGGTCACCGCATCGGAAGAAAGCCTGGCAGGCAGCTTGGGGAGTGTTGTTAGGCTAGTGTTGGGGAGTCGTTAGGCTAGGCCAGGGTTTTATCTTTATCAACGGTGACTTAAGGTGGTTTTCCCAGGCAGCGCTGGCAAGTCCTGTCGCTGCAGGCAGCTCATTAAGAAGCCAAGGACGCTCGAGACCTAGTGAACCACCGCGCCACGGTAGCCACCAGCCCACATGTTCCCTTGCTTAGGAAGTGCCTTGCTCAAGTACTTGGCTTCTCTGATGGTTTTTCCTCTCCCGTCCAGGGCTGCCCCTTGGGCGCAGTCAGGGCGCTGGTGACCCATGGCGTAGCCTGCTGTGCTCTGCGCAGCCTTCTCCAGCTTCGAGGCCTCTTTAGGCTTTCAGCTGTTGAGCAGAGTCAGTTAAAGATGATGGGAAGATTTTCCTCTGAGCTTCAACCCAGCTGCCATTTTATGGGTGGTCTCTAGGGCAGGCAGCAGTCGCTTTGGAAGGGTAGCCAGCGCTGCCCATCGTGTTTGGATCTGCCTTGTTCTTGCCCTTTCCCCGTTGCTGTCCCCAAGGTGTCCATTCATGCAAGCTGAAAGCATGGTTGTTTTCCCTGTTGTCTGATCTTGGTGGATGTGTGCTTGGTGCTGGCAAGCAGAATTTTTGAAAGTTTCAGGCCATTAGAGTAAAATCTACGAAGAGCTGGACACTATTTCATAAGCATATCCTATATCTTTTCTCCTGTGGCTGTGTCTGGGGTGTATAATCCAAGTGAAGTTGTGGTAAATCGACATCATGCAGGGCCACGGGGCCAGCTGTGCTAGCCTGCAGTAAGCGTTCCTGACATCTCCATCTTCTTGAATAGCTGACTGATGTTTTCCGAATGCTGCTTGTCCTGCTTTGCAGAGGGGATGGAGGGGCTGAGCTGGGTGTTTCCTCTGCCCAGTGTGCGCTGGTCGGAGCAGAGGATGGAGCAGGGGACCTTGTCTGGAGGAGCGGGTGGGGTTGTCCAGCTCTGCCTGGACAAGGTGAACGGAGGAGAACGGACACACGCAGGCAGGAGCTGGGGTGGCTGAGGGACCAGCGTAGGAAGTAGCATCTGATCCCCAAGGTGGACCAAGGCTGTGACAGAGAGCAGAGAGGATCCCAGCAGCTGGAGGGAGAGTCACTCTGGTGCAGGCTGGGCACCGGTGGTTGGCACGGGGGGAGAGGGGAGAGAAGCTTCAAAGTGCACCAGGACTGATACGGGTCAGGAGGTGGCTGAGCAGTCTCTGTCCTCTGTGTACTTGCAATTCCTGCTTCTAACTGGCACGGCCTGTCTCTCAGGTAGGTTTTGTTGTAGCTGCATGGAGGAGGCATGGAGCAGGGAGGAATGGAGTGGGCAGCACTATGGGTCATAGGTACGGTCATGCTGCGGCAGGGCAAGAGTGGTGCATGGCAGGTGCCATGCAGGGCGCTGCTCGGAAGGTGCGGGCTATGTTGGATGGCAGGAGGAAGCAATGCCAGGGAGATGTGTCAGCTAGCAGCCGGGCTGTGTGTGCCACGGGGGGACAGCACCGGTGGAGGAGCTGTCACGGGTGACTTATTAAGAGAAGTCATCATTATGGAGTTAACTAGAAGGGTTTTATTGATGGTTAAAGGATGATCAAATGATAATTAATCGATGATTGAATGATAATTAAATCACAGAATCATTAAGGTTGGAAAAGACCTCTAAGATCATCAAGTCCAACCATCAACCCAGCACCACCATGCCTGCTAAACAATGGCCTGAAGTGTCATGTCTACACGTTTTTTGAACATTTCCAGTGATGCTGACTCCAAATGGTGATTAAACAATAATTGAATGGTAATGAAACAGTGATTTGACAGTGGTGATACGGCAGTCAAATACTAACTACATTTCTTAACAAGCTGCCGCTGGATACATTTTATATATATATAAAAACGTTGCTAACGTATAATATACTTTTAGGTGCAATGTAGAATGTCGCTTACCTTGTTATAGATACCAGATGCCAGGTAAAGGGTCTCTCGGCCTTGAGGGGTAACCCTGAGAGGCGTTCCTGCTGGAGGCAGACCGCCGCCGTGCAGCCTGCTGCCGTGCAGGAGAGCTCAGTGGGCTCGGGGCGGGCTGCAGATATTTGTAGTGTCAAGCGATGGACTCGTAGTCAGACCCCTTGGGCGCACGTGTGCGCGCGCAGCGGCTGCAGCGGTTTTGGTTTGGCCTAGTCCCAGCTCAGGCCGGTACCGTTAGCTCCCGAGAAGGTACGCCCTGGCACGATTTCTCACGGTTTGCGCAGCAGGGCTGCCTTCCGTCAGGCGTACTTGTCGGTGGCGGCTGAACCAGAGTCCTGCTCGCTCGGTCAGAGTGGGGGCATCCGTCCCAGGCGCTGGGCAGGCGAGCGTGGGCAGGAGCCCAGCAGGCAAGAGGCAGGGCAGAATGGCATCAGGGAAGCCGTTCCGGGTGCGCGGGGCCGGGGAGAGCACTGACAGCAGTCGTGGCGACGGGGAGTTACTGATCTTAGGTGTGTGCTGCGAGCAAGAAGACTGGTAGTGACCCAGTGGTGGTTACGAGGTTGGGCAGCGCCGAATGTGGGAGAGGTGTGTGGATGTCAAGCAGGGCAGATGCGGGGAGGGGGTTCACCGAGAAACCACACTGTGGGAAAGGCTAGGTGCCAGCTCTGGGACAAAGAGGAGAAGGGAGACGGAAGAGTCAGGAATATCAGCAGCACTGACAGGTTGGCTCATGATAGGTACTGTCCTTGAGCTAATAGTCTGGGGTTTTTATCATTACCCCTTTCTTGTATCGTGGAGTTGCATTTGCAGACTTAGATTTCAGCATTTTTTTATCCAACCAATCTGTTCCTTGTAATCTGCGTTTAAAAAACCTCTCTACTTTCTGAACCTTAGGAAATCCGTAACATTCATAACGATGAACTAATGGGTATTCGAAGAGAGGAGGAAATGGAAATGTCTGATGAAGAAATAGAAGATCCATCAGAGATGAAAGAAACAGAAGAATCAGGTAAAATCACTTTTTACAGCTCATAAACAAAGCACTTGTCTCTTCAGTGGTTTCTTGCAGGAGCCCACTTCTGACTGTTTTGTACCTCAGCATTGTCACGGGCAGAGCAAAATCAACTGCAGTTATATGGAGTTGTTTTCCTCTCGGTGCCTGGTTCTGTAGCCAGGGTTTGTCACTCCTCCCTGCGACGGTGAGGGTAACCTAAAGCTGTGTTTGAACCGCAGTCCCTCGCGAGGTGTGCGGGGTTCATGGAGGTGTAAGCTCCCTGCCGTGTGTGCGGGTAACCGCACGGGCGCAGCGGTGCGCAGCTGAGGTCATCTGCACAGCCGCTCTCTGCAGAGCGCCCTGCTTTTGCAGCTGCACCGCCGTCCACCTGAGCTGTGCCGTTTCAGTGCAGCACCGATGTCTGCACAGCGCTGGAGACACGTTTACAAAGCATCAGATCCCCGTCCCAGGATCTCAGTGGTACTCTGGGCAGCTGCTGGGCCAGTGGCAGCGCTTGGGGAGGGAGCAGCAAGGGTGTGCGGTGGTAGACGTGGTTGTTGTCTTAGTGCGGGGCTGTGCGGTCAGCTGGGTGCTTCTGTATCGTGCAGCTTGAAATGCCCTTGGCTGGGACTAACGTGAGAACTGCACTGCCCAAAGAGTCCTTTGTCTGCAGGAAATAAAAGATGAATAGTCCAGAAATGCATTGAAGGACTTTCCTGAGTATTGAGGTTACAAAGTCAAATATTCACCTTAGGACATGGCATCATGAAGGTTGTATGGGAAATCTGATGTTCCAGTGTTGTGACAACAAGATAGCAAATCTCAATGCCAACTCATCGTACAAGGGGAGAAAGAAAAGTGGAGCCATACTGATTTTACTGGTTCACACAAGTACTCGTGTAGCCATATACTTACAAGCATTCAAACATGGCCCCAAGCAGCCTGTCCAGTAGTCAGGCAGCAGGACGTGTCTCCAGATGGTCTGTCCAGCATGCAGGCACCAGGATGTTTGTATGCTGTCGGTCTGTCTGCGATTCCTTCGGGTGTCATGGAAGGACAGGGGCCACTGGCTGTTGAGTCCTCCTAATGCCCTCTGGTCCTTTCTAGGTTGGTGAGCCTCTACTGGTTTGGGGTCTGCCTTGTTGTACCGGTTCTGCCTCTCCTTTCTGTCCCTCTCTGTGAATGCACACAGATTTATTCACTGTCCCCTCCTTATCTGGCTGTTGTATGGTTTCTGTCCTGTTCTCTCTCTCTCTTTTCCTGCTATCATTTCTTAAAAGGCTCGAATCCGTTCTCTAGGGCATCAGTGGACAGCCCTAGATGTGACGCTGGTAATGCACTGCTCAGGACCGTGCCGTCCTTCTGGGGTGACAGAGGCTGGCAAAGCTGTGTGCCACAGTTGGTGAACTCTTCCAGAGCTGCTTCCAACTGTTGTTTCTCAAGTCATTACTGCTGTTTTTTCTCACATGCTGCCAGTGGAGTTAGAAAAGTCTTTGGTCAAGGTTGCTTCCAGTTTATTCTCTTTGGATGATAATCTGGGATGAGCCTGCCATAACAACCTTTCTGTTCAAGCTGAAATAACATTTTAATGCCTCCAAAGCATTTTCCAGGTGCCCTCTTGCCTCCAACCCCTGACCCCATCTAAGCAAAATTTTTCTATGGTCTGTTTTACCGGACTCTAAATGCTCGGACTTGCTCATCATGTTTTGCTTAGATCATCTGAAGAGCAGTAGCCAGGTCCTTACATTTGTCCCAAGCAATGTAATTTGTCCCTAAGCTGTCGTCTGCCTCAGAAAACTATGAAAGGCCCATCTCTCCAAACGTTTCTGCTAAAAACATCTATTCTTTTCTTCCTTCTGAATTTCCTTTCCTGAAATAAGCGGGAGGACACCTGCCTTTTCAGACACCTCCACTTTCAGAAGGTGCCTTGCTGAGACACTTGCACTCTCTCAGAAACACTGCAACTTTTTCCTGCTGTTACTGTGCGTTTCACTGGCAAATAGGCACAAGTCTTGTTGACCGCATGAGTGTTTCAGTGATGTTCAGGTACCTTTCCCAGCGCCATGGGCTATGCCAGGGAGACTATAGCCTGTTGTCGGAAGGCTTTTCTTGCCAAGCAGTGGCCCTGCCTCCCCCTCGCTGCTCCTAACCTCGCCAGTGCACTGTACAGGCATGTTCGCACCTGTATCTCTTTCAGCTGTAGCAGAAGCTTTGAGAATCTCCTTGCCTGGCCCTGTTCTGTGTGGCCAGATGCCGAATGGGAGCAAAGACCAGACCTGACCACCAAGTGACCAGGCAAAATCTGTCAGTTCATTCATAGCGGCTCACCCTGGAAACTGCCTTTTTCTGTCCAGATCCATTTTTAGGGAGTTAATTCATTTCCACCTTGGTTTTCCGATACAATCTACTGAATATTGCCCGCTGTCGTTCGTTTTGAAATGTGTGGCTGCACAGAGTGGGGTCCAACACATTCACTGGCTGGGAGAATGAGTGGGGGCAGTTACATAAAACCCACCCCAAACCCACCCTCTTCCCATGCAGCATGTACTTCCGAGTACAGTGTGTGAGTCCCAGGCAAGCGTGCCTCCGCATGCTCTGCCCATGGCCCAAGTACCAGCGGTTAACAGGAAGGCTGTGGGACGTCAGGCTATGCCCCCCACATCATGGGTATGTTTTGAAACCTGCTGAAGCTCTCTTCGCAGCCATAATGTTAGATGATCCTATTCCTGACTTTATCAAGCCCTGTGTGGACACCAGGCTGATGCAGGTGTTTCATCCCATGGCTTGATGGAGACATTCTTCTGGCTGAAGGTTCCAGTGGAGCCTATCCCAGAGTCTTTCAGCTTTGCTGGCTAGGAAACCTGCTTCCTTGCCAGCATGGTTGCTTCACCCCAATATGTTCTTTTGTTGCCCTTTTTTTTTTTTCTCCTTCCAACTTAAATACTTCATTCACTACTGAGAGGTGCTCTTTCTCCAGAGGAGCTTGTTTTCTAAAGAGGTATCGCAAACAGTGGTTGGGAGAAATTAATTTTGGTACTTTTGATTTGTAACTGGGTGCTGGAAGCTACAGAGCCACTGTGCACTGGGGGAGAGCACCCAGGGACTTCTTGCTCCCAGTTCTTTGTCTTGTGATCCCTGTCTGCCTTGTTCTCCAGCACTGGTATCGCAGGTGGAAGCCCTAAAAGAAGAAAACGACAGCCTGCGCTGGCAGCTGGACGCCTACCGGAACGAGGTGGAACTGCTGAAGCAGGAGCAAGGCAAAGCAAGCAGGGATGAAGACACAACCAAGGAGCAGCAGATGAAGCTTCTCCAGCAGGCTCTGCAGGGGATGCAGAAGGTGGGCCCAGCCTTTTCTATAGCTATGGCCTTGCTGCAAAGGGGCTGTGATATGGAGCCGAAACACAAGCAAAAACATTTTGTTTTTCAATGGGATCAAAATTGGCGAGTGGGAGCAACTTTCTGTCATTTCCAGTGTTGCCAAAAAGCTCCCAGACAACCAAATATTCAAAGCAGCGATTGTGTATGAACTGATAAGTCACATGGAAACAATCCATAGTTTATGGATTCCTTGCGTGCTCTTTGTTTGACCACACTGTGACTTCTGAAGCACTGAGTCTGTGCTTACCCACTCTGTAACCCTGTGAGATCCTGGTTACCAGCATGAGCAAGAAAGCAGGAAAACCCAGGCTTGCTTTGACACCTTTTCTGAACTTTACTGGGCTTTCATTCTCACAGAAATGTGTAGGGCATGTCTTGTCCTTTGGGATTTCCCTGGGCTGAATCTCGAGTGGTTTGGTTCCTTGTAAACTTTAACAGTAGTCCTTGGGATATTAAGCCAGACTGACAGCCAAGCATATAGAGCATATAATAGTTCAGGTAAGCACTTTGTTAGAATAAGAACCTGCAGCCATGCTATGAAGGCCATGGTCGTTCTCCGGATGAACCTGACATATGAACTGACAGCACTGCTGTTTGTGACGTTGGAGCTGGCAGGAAAAGCCTTCTGTAGTCGCCGTCAGCCTTCAGTGTGGGAGGAAACGGCAGGAATTGGAGGACATAACAGATTTCCCTTTTTGCACGTGTCAGGCAGGTCAAGTTTCTCTTTACACCACTACCAGGATGAGTGGTGCTGGGAGAATACTCTGGAGGAACTGCCTTAATGAACAAAGATGCTGTTTGTTAATGAATAATGAATCTCTTTTATCTTTTTTTTTTTTCCTTCTAGTTGAGGGAGAAAAATATTAAAGTAAACTACTGATCAGGGATGTTTCAAGCATGGAAGAAAACATTCACTGAAAAATAGATAATACATTTACTGAAGAATATATATATATATTTATGTATCCTGAGTTGACTTAAGAAAGCTGCTAGGCTAGTGCCTTTGCCATATTAGCGTTTAACGGTCACTCCTGGTGACGTGATCTTGCTTATTGCTGGGGGACCCAGTGCTGTTAGCAGTTTGAGCAGTTTTCTTCTGGCTCTCATGGGAGATGAATCACAGTTTTCCTCTGCTGCCTGTGTGTTGGTTTGTTCAGATAGGTTTTTCCTACTCATCTGCTTTCCCTATGGACACATTCAAGAGCACAAATTTGCTCTGGAACCAGACTGTTATATCCACAACCACAGCTTTGGTTCTCCTTGGTAGACACCAAGTTGGGCTTGAGAATTTCTTTCTGCTCACCTCTGAGACGTGGGTTGTGATTCACTACCCAGCCTTTCTCCTGAGCTTTGCTAGTCAAGGTTGTGCACAGCTTGCTGCGGTGCTTGCTGCCAGCACCCTGCACTGCTGAGCTGGTGCCCAGGGTGGGGAGCAGTCGTCACATTTTTCTGCAATGTGGAATTGTGCAAATAGTGCAAACCTCCTTATCTAGTAGCTATTTCAGAGTATTTTCTTAAATCGCAAGACAACTCTGTATTAACGTGGGGCTAGAGGTCTAGGAAGACTTTAAGGTGACTTCCCCAGGTCGCTTGTTTCTGTGCTGCTCTTTCCCATGTGCTGGCTGTTTGTATGGCCATCGCGTGCGCTGGACTCGGGGAGAGGAAGAGTTAGCTTTAACATGGGTCAGGCCCACAGTCTAGTGCACAACGTGTGCTTTATTTCAGGGACAGCGAAGGTTTGTTGGTGATGGAATTACTTCCCCGTGTTTACAAAGTCAAGCTTTTTTTGTATGCTAATAGGCAAAGATGTTTCTAAGGTATATTGTAGAAAATATTTCTTCTTGTTGTATAATTAACCTATTAGTTCTTATCTGCCTGGTCTTCATGGAAAAGCCCTTATTCGTTTTATATCCTTTAAATAGTAGGAGGTGAAAGGCAGGTGAAGAACTGAGTTTTATCTTTTCTCTTGCAGCATCTTTTGAAAGTACAAGATGAATACAAAAAGAGAGAAGCCGAGTTAGAAAAAGTGAGAGAAGACAAACTAAAAATAGAAACATTATTAGAAAACCTGAAGGAGCAGGTACGTGCCATCCCAAGTGTTTCCTTATTCTCAGTAGTAAATGTGGTCCTTGGATTTCATGGTCCGTGAAGCGCAGTGAAGGACCTCTGTCCTTCGGTGCTCCTGTAGAAGATGCCTAGTCCTGACTTAGGAGCAGTTGTCTTTGGAAGGCTAGAAAAAATTACCTGCCAAATTGGAGAATGTGTATCAGTAATGAGCTTACTGATTGCTTCCTGTACCAGTGAGACAATCTACATAAGCAACTGTATAAATAAAAGATTAACTTTCATTTTATAGTATACAGTGGTATTGCAGTTGAAATGTGGTTTTCTGCAACCTCAGCTTTAAAAGATAGGAAAAAGGGCTCTCAGTAATCAAACATTGATTTTTAGATTTGCATTTTAGGGATGTGTTTTGATCTGACCTCCATAAAACACTGTTGAATTGAAAGCTTTTGTCAGTGTTATAATATGCTTGCTGGATTTATTCTAAACATGAATACATACTGTTTCTTCTCAGGTGTGATCCACGCTGCCTTTTGATTGTGGACCCATGCATGAATCTAAATGTGCTTGGTCCTCTCCTCTATAGCGCAGACACAATTATACAGCATAGACAGGAAACATTACACAGCACTTCTCACTGAGGACCAGAGAGCCAAATGCTAAGTCTTGTCTCAGATTTTCAATCTTCAGCCCCACCTCTTTGTGCCATGAGCTCGGGAAGATAATAAATGTCTTTCTAGTAACTACAAATGGCTTTGTATCCCAGTAATCTTCAGTGCAGGAGTTTCAGTGCCTGAAATCAAAGAACAGAAATAACAGACTGTCATCAGTAATCTTTCCTTTTCTTTACCTATGTATAGCAAAGCATAGCAGATGAAGAGGACAAGGAGAGAGATGCAATTGATTGTCAAGGGAATGTAAGTCTAAGTTTCTTTTCTGCTACTTCAGTCAGAGTATCTTACTGAGGGAAGTAATGACACCTCTTTGTAAAATGAGCAATTTTTTAAAGTTTGGTTGGTTTGTACCGCGCTTACACACTTCTCTACAGACCGTCTTCATGTACAAATTAAAATCATCAAGTTATCCATTGCTAGCAGCTTCTGGATGGAAGAACAGCAGGTATTTGCAACACTGTGGTGCAGAAATGCATTTTGGTGTGCAAGGTAATTTCTTGCACTGTTATTTCAACTAGCCTTCAAAAATACCTGTTGGATCTTGGAGGGAAAGCAGTCCGTGTGTTTCCAGTGTAACACTACCGGCTGAACTGCAGTCTCTGTGTCAGCCTGAAGCTAGCTCCATTTCCACAGTGCAGACTTTTACTTTCTCCTGTAGAAGCAAATTATAGCCTGCTTAGGCCAGGACTGCACAGTTTCAGTCCTGTGTAGCTGAGAATTGCACTGGTGTAAGAACCTAAGCAAACCGCAGGGACCGTTTAATTTTATCTTTGGCCCAAGTCCAGTCCATTTTGCTGATGACTGGAGGCAATTTCCAATTATAGCTTTAGCGCTCAGACCACTGGAATTCCCCATAAAACTTAGGAATAAAAGTCCTGCTTCTAGTGCACCCACAAAGTCTTTGCATCACTGGCAGTCTTAAGTTTATTTTGGGGACGGTAAGTTATGCAAAATTCTGTTTTAATTCAGTACCACAAACTCAAGTCAAGGACAGTCTGATCCTAAACCCTTTGCAGCCATTGGACACTTGGTTAATCATATTGCCTCAGTTTAGGCATCTGAAAAATAAACATCTGCCTCTGCCTTAGTCATTGCAAGGCTTTCTTTCTAGTCTGTTTTTGCTTTTATTATTTAAAATAAGGCCCTTCTACAGCAGTCATCATACCAGTGAACAGGGCTGATAAAGTGTGTGTTGTGGCGTCTTACTTAACTTAACGGGCTTTTAATCTAACTTGATAATTCAGACACAGCAGCATGAACATAGCTGTGCTTTGCTGGAAGCGTTTTGCAAAACAAACAGTAGATGCAGCAATGTGATGAATGCAGTGACTCACAGAAACAGGAAAACATAAATACAGGCTCCGTCGAGTCTGAGCGAGCTGCTGCTGTACGAGTGCCTGCTGTGCTGCTGGAGCGTGAACGGGCGCTGTGGTTTTCTTGCAGGAGAGCAGCACATCCAGAGTTTGTGCGTGCAGCCAGGAGAAGGAATGTCCCGTTGAGAAGACATCGAACAATAGTCCTGTGAAATCTGAACGAGAAGTTCTGTTAGTTGGTAAGTTCTTGTGGGCTTGGTGACGATGCTGGAGACCTGAACTGAGTGGGACTTACTTCAGGGTGGCCTTGCAACTCCCTCCGGCCAGCTCTTGTTCCTTTGGTGATGCCAATGGAGGTGGGGGTCCTGGAACCACGGAAAGCCTCGCGCTTTGGTGGGGTCAGGGTTTTACCTTGTGCACTGCTTGTGTGAAGATCTTGTGCGGTGCACCTTTCGATCAAAACCACACACGTGTAAAGGGGCCTTGTGGGTAGTGACGGTCCAGGTCAGCACATACTGGAGTGCAAGTTGCTCTTCTGGGAGGCATCACTGAAGGTAGGAAGGTTCAGAGGAGGGTCTGTCTTAATTTGTTAGAGCCTAATCAACCTTCCAGGATCTTAAGCAGTGTCACGAGCTCTAAGACTTTAATCAGCTTGAGCATTGCAGCACCTAACGGTGTGAATGCAATTGTGGGCCCACACAGCACACCATTAGGTCAGGCGTGGTGTGCCATGGACCCTGAGCAGATAAGCTCTTCTAGCTTTAGAAGCTGTATCCAGAGAGGAAGGAAGAGTGGAGAAAGGTGGCAGGAGGAGAAGGCTGGGCTCAATGGGACGAGAAACATTGCCAGCATTTTCAAGTGATGCTCGCAAAGGGATTGGTGACCTCTGATTTACAGCGCAGGTGTATCTGCTGCCCTTTCTGTTTCCTTTCCCCTTGCCTATTCCTAGTAATATTGAAAATAACCTGACATGGTATGCTGTGACTTTTCAGCCCAAAGCACTGGGTAGTTGGGGATTTTCTGGAGCATTGAAAAGGAGGAACAGAAGTCCTTGTCTTGATGGAACAAGGCATTTTCTTTAGTTCATTGTCACTCCTTAGCCATCCCTTTACATCTGATTTGAGAATAACAATAAATCACTTATTGTTATCCAGATGGATCTGTTTGTGCCAGATCATGGGCTGGTTCTGCATTGAGAGGGAAGGGACTTTGGGGAAAACCAAAGGCACAGCCTTTTTCTGCAGGTGGTGGTCAGAAACACAAGTCAGTCTTTTTGATATACAGTCCTGGCCATGAGCTGGAAAGGAGTCTCTTCATGAGAGGGTGCAAACCTGGATTGCTCTATTTAACAGAGTGCTGCAAAGCTGTTGGGATGGAGGACACATGCCACTGCTGCTGTCTTCATTTGCCTTCTGTCTTTTCCTGCTCATTGTCCTTTGCTGGTACAGCCGGAGGAGAGCTCTGCTTTCCCTCTACTTGGGCCTTGCATCCCCACATGTATGATAATCTCAGCGTGGTTCATCACTGGGCACAGTACTCGGCCGGGAGTGAGCGTGATGAGGGCTGTTTTAAGTCCTAACCAGCTGCATTGGCTGGCTGTTGTTTCCTTTGCAGTCTATGGGCCAAACCTCGCTGTACGTAAAACCAAAAATGCCCGATGAGATCCCTCTGTGCTGTGCCAGTAGTAAGAGAGCGCTGGTGTTCTCAGTTGACTCTTGTCTCATGAAAATGATGTTTGTGATGTTCCTTTCCGCAGGAATAATTTCAACATTTCTTCACGTGCACCCGTTTGGAGCAAGCATAGAGTACATCTGTTCCTACCTGCAGCGTCTGGACAGCAAAGTAGGTGTACCAGCACGTCCAGTGCCCTGAGCCAGCCTGGGCTGTGTGTTTGTGCCCCGAGCGTGTTCAGTCTGTGTGGCTGATTAAGAGCTTCACTCCTTCTCTGGGAACGGTGCGGGGCTCGGACAGTAAGAGCTGGTGTGTATGAACTGGAATAATTTACTGGCAGAGGACAGGGGAAGGGGCAAACTTTCTTAGCATCGCAGAAGGGTTTGGGTTGGGAGGGACCTTTAAAGATCATCTCTTGCCCACCCCCCTGCCATGGGCGGGTGCAGCTCTCCCCAGATCAGGGTGCTCAAAGCTACCCAGCTTCTGGGCTAGTCCTTACACAGCTTAGTGTTAACCGAAATGCAGAGTTGAAGGTGATGTTCTCACTGCAGGTGTTCGTGTGTAATCCTGCTCGTATTTCAAGAAGGCCCTTTGCTGGTAGCTGTATTTTGCAGCAGTGAACTCCATCTTTAAAATCTCCATCTAAACTGTATTTTTGTTTATTCTGTTTAAATTAGCTGCCTTTGTTTCCCTTATCCTTATGACCTCTAAAGAAAAGAGCAAACAAACTGCCTCTTGCATGCTGTTTATTATCTAGTAACATCTGCCATGCCACTGTTTGTATATATTCTTTCTAAACTGAACAGTCATATTGGTTTTTTGTCTCTGAGCAAAGTTTTTCCATGTCTCTAATCTTGTAGCCCTTCACTGAGCCTTTTCTGTCTCTGTTTTGGTACTGTCAATGAAGTCATTTTTAGGAGGGTGCTGCTCAAGGCCCTTTAACTACAAAAGCATAAGCACTGAATGACAGCCCCTGGGTGCAGGGCTCGAGAAGGGCAATAACCAGAGCAGCGCTCACGTGTTTTCCATGGCACAAGAAGCAGCTGCTCTTTCCTGCGGTATTTCTGCGTATCGCTGGCTTCGGAGTAAACGGGGAGGGACTTCAAAGGCTTCTGAAAGTTCAAGGAAATTACATCTTGCTCCTCTATTCTACTGTTCTTCGGTTGTCTTCCTTAAAGTGCCCCAGGAACAGGAGACTTACCAGCATGGGAATCCTCTCTTGTGATTGGAACTTTTTCAGCTGCTTTTGTTTATAACTTACTGTTTAATTTTCCCTGTTCTAAGAAAGCACGGCTCTAGCCTGTGTTTTCCAGGCTCACTCCAGCCCTTTAAAGACATATCTAATAATTTATCTTCTCATTCTAGTTCTGAATTTGTCTGAGGCGAACAGTTACCTTTTTATTTTGCTTTGGAGCTCCTAAAGAAATGCCATCATATCATTCGTCTGACTTCTGGCACTACTTCTTTGGGCTCTACAGTGTAGGAAGGGGCTACTGGAAGTTCCTACAACAAGCTTAGCAGAAAAGCCCTGCGAAAAGTGCATCCTTTAACCTCTGCGATGGCATCAGTCTTTTTTTTTATTGTTCGCTGGCACTCGGGCAAACACAATCAGCCTGCTGACTTGCACAGGTCTTGTGCCTGGTCTCTTGAGAGGAGACCTTCCCACTTGCTCTTCAGGTTACATCTTCTGTCTCCCTCGTGATTATTGCAGGAGCTAGGTGTTATTGGGGGTGTTACCTCTAACGTCTAGCAGATCTTTGGGCTTGTGGTGGGGTAGGAGCAGGGGGGAGCACTTGAGAGCAGAACCTGGTTTCTGGAGGCTGCCAGCAGGAAAGGAAGAGGAATATCTTTCCCCTGTTCCCGCCCATCAGTCTCACCGAGAAGGCCAGCAGGTCAGCAGCCAGTGCAGACATTAAGATCGAGGGTGGCTTGAAGCCATGAAACAGTCCTTGCAGAAACTCTCTGTAGCACGGTGAGCATCGCAGGTGCTGGGCCGCGTAGATGGTGCTCCTCCTGAGGTGTCTGCTCTGTTTCATGTCTTAGGTTGGACCTCTGCCTCACCAAACCCATTGCCAGCCTGAGCTCGCGCTGTTTCTGTCTCTCTCACAACTCAGACTGTTGTTTTGTGATCAGGCAGAAACAGCATGATGACAAAAGCGCATCCACCGAATGCAAATCTGTCTTGCAGAGCAGGTGCTTTTGATCTTTATCACATGTTGGGCATGTTTTGAAAACTGTGGACCTGCAATAAATGCCAAAGGGCTTTCAGAGGAATGCACTTGCATGCTCAGGAAGGCTTAAAAGCAAACATACATTCTGTGTACATTGTCTTCCTAGTGGTAAGCGGTACCCTGCACTCTTGGAAGTGAAAAACCTTTTCTCCCTGAGTGCTGGCTGAAAACTGTAATTCATGCTGGCATACGCAGAACATAAGTGAATTAAGAGAACAATGTTAACACCTCCTTGAGAAGGTCAGAGTTGAACGTGAGTTTGGCAGGATGGTAGGAGGAAATGACTCAAGATTATCTCCTGGAAAATCCAGTTATGCATTGTAGTAGAGACCATGAAGTGGGATCGGGCTTGACATTACAGAACAGTCGAAGTGAATCCACTGTGGCAGGGGTGAAAATTGAAACATCAGCAGGAGGAAGCACCACAGAGGTGCACGGTCGATATGCACCCAGCTTGAAAGCACAGCCCCTGGAAACTCACGGGGCTGCAGCTACAGAGCTACAAACTCTGCATAAAGGGAGTTAAAAATAGAGACAGTGACTATGGTAGATCAACAGAATGTGTACAAAGGATGTCCCCTTGCACGGCACTGTTGGAAAATAGCCATGTTTTTATCCAAAAATACATCCTAGTGCTCTGCCTAACCCGCAGGTGGATGAGGTTATTGTGCAGAGATAGCTCTGAATGTGTGTCAGAGCAGTCCCAGATACACAGCAGAAGCAATCTTGAATTCTTGTGAATATAACAAATACGGCTTTACATTTTCTGCTGCCATAAGAAAACCATTGCAGGCAATTGAATACAAGGTGGACGCAGCCTTTGCACTCTTTATATGTCCTGAAACTGTTAACGTGCAAGTTTTCTCACTCGCTGAACTTTAATTGTATCTAGTAAATGCCTGAGCAGTCAGATTTACGGGCCTGCCCGCCTGTGTGTGATTAACTTTTGATGCACATTGTATAGCTGGTGTGTGACGGGGTAAAGATGCTAGCAGGTATGTGCACTGCTTCAGCTCCCCAAAAACACCACGGAGGCTTCGGTTTCAGCTCTTACAGGGCACAGTGTTGAGAAAACACGTAACTTTGCCAGTGGTTTTAGAAGTAAGATTCAGCTGTATGAGAAAACCACGTAACACGTTATGCTTCCTACCACTCGCCGTGTTAAAAAAGCTTAAAAAGCTACCACGGAGAGTGCTCCCTGAGGACAGGTGCCAGCAGGGTGACATCCCTGGGGCCGCGCCAGCGCTCTGGTCTGGTCAGGGGCTGGAAGAGGGTGACTCATTCCCCACCGTGGGTGACTCTGAAACAGGACCCTGGCTTGGCGAGCAGGTCTGCCCGCCTTAATATGTTTAGATTTCTTTTCTGCAGCGGTGTAACCTCCAGATCTTGTCTCTTAGCTCTGTTTGAGCGACTCCGGTGCTGTTAGGAATGTGGTAGCTGCACTGTAGATGAATGCTTGTGACTCTTCAGGGTGTGAATATAAATTCCCTGTGCCTCTGACTTCGGTACCCAGTAACCGAGAGCTTTATTCCTGCAGCAGGAGTAAAAGTACTCACTGTTCAGTTACTTAAATGCTTGGGAGTTTTTAGTCCGTTATCTTGCATTTCACAGTGGAAAAAGTTAGGACAGTCCTTGTTCCCTTATTTCTAGCGTTCATTATATCTGCAGCCATCTCACCCTGGAGTAGCACAACTCCATGCTGTCCTAAGATTACCACCACGAGTATTT